GGGCGGGAGAGGTTGGCCCAGAGAGGCGGATTGGACGGTACCAATTACCTGCTATTCAGAGGGGGGAAGCCGAGATGTGCTACTTTGTGGTGGCGTGGGAGCGTGCGCGGTTCTGCCGGGGCTATACCAATGTGCCAAAGGGGGAGGGCGGGAGTTGGATTGCACCACTGTGACTCTGAGCTGGGGTGGAGGGAGCGCTCTGCAGGGAGGAGCGTGCATGGTGTGTTGCAGCTGGCTGTGCTAATCCAGGCCAGCCCTACCCAGGCGCTTCAGCCAGCCATGTGTTGGCCCACAGCAGGGATGTTCGCGGTTCTGCCGGGGCTATACCAATGTGCCAAAGGGGGAGGGCGGGAGTTGGATTGCACCACTGTGACTCTGAGCTGGGGTGGAGGGAGCGCTCTGCAGGGAGGAGCGTGCATGGTGTGTTGCAGCTGGCTGTGCTAATCCAGGCCAGCCCTACCCAGGCGCTTCAGCCAGCCATGTGTTGGCCCACAGCAGGGATGTTAAATTTTGACTAATTGGCTAATGGAATAGTCAATGCAATTTGCACTGACTATTTGATTAGTCGATAAGGGCCCAGGACTGTTGCTACCTTTCAAAGGCAAAAGCGCGGCAGGCAGCAAGGGGCCAGCGGGGCAGTCCTGTGCTCCCCACAGCATTTCAAAGCAGCAGTGCTGCATGGAGCCCAGGGTCAGCTGTGGGGAGCCTGACGTAGGGCTGCACGCAGCATTTCAAAGTGGCAGCGCCTATGGAGCCTGGGAACCCGGGTCTCTACACTGAAGTACTCAGCTTTCCCCCCTACTTGCTGCCTCTTTCTGATAGCGGGGGAAGCGACTACTCAGCTAGTGTGTCCCTGCTTATCGGATAGTCAACTAGTTGTTCATATCCCTAGCTCACAGCAGGGAGCAGCTCCAAGGGGCCTCAAAAGCTCCCATAGGGCAGCCCCTTGTGGCCCTGGGGCAGGACCAATTAACCCCAGACTATCCCTGACACCTACCTGTCTAGCCTGGATGCTACCCTAGGAGCCTCTTTCTGAGCCAAGCTACCCTTACAGCTCTCCCCCACCACACCCCAATCTAGGGGGTGGGAGATAGCTGCCTAAATCTCCCTTGCTGCGGGATAAGCCCAAAACCACTTCCCTCGTGTGACCATGGTGGAGAAGCACTATTGGTCACCATCCTTCTAACATTCCTGGATTTGAAGACTGTTTTCATATCCTTGCCCCGCCAGCCTTTGTTTCTCAAGGCCAATCAGGCAGGTTTTCTAAACTTTTTATTCATTTGTGTTGTTTTCCTCTGGATTCTCCAATTTGTTCACATCTTTTCTTAAAGTGACACCAGTACTTGATACAGGTTGGATCTCCCTGGCCTGGCACCCTTGGGACCTAACCGGTCCCAAACCAGGGAATTTTCTATACTAGGGAAGGTTTCCTGCTACAGGCCCCAGCAGCTGACTACTCTCAGCACTGCCAGCTCTGGGGCAATACCCACTGCCTCCAGCTCCAGGCTGCCTGCTGGGTTGCTGCTCCTGCTGGGCTGCCTGCTGGGCTCTAGCAGCCTGCACTGCCACGGGCTGCCACAGGCTCCAGCCCTGTGCTGCCATGGGCAGCCCAGGGCTGGTCCTGGTCAGGCTGTCAAGGGCTCGGGCTCCAGTCACAGCCTCAGGGTAGCCCCTGGGCTATGGCCTCACTTGTGTGGGCTGCCCTGGACTCCAGCCTCATGCTGCTGGGAGCTACTGAGGGCTTCTGTCAGCCCCAGGCCCACTACCGTGATCTGCCAAGGGCTCTGGCTTCTGCCCCGTGGTAGTTTGCAGGCTCTGGCACTGTCTCCGTGGGCTGCCCAGGGCTCTGGCCCTGGCCCCACACTGCCATGGGCTATTGTCAGCCCGGTTCTGTGCTGCCTGGGGCTGCCCCAGCCCTGGTCCCAGAGCCACAGGCTGCTGGGGGCAGTTGCTGGCTCCAGCCACACTGCTGTGGACTGCAGAGGGCTGCTGCCAGCCCCTGCCCCATCCCACTGCTTCAACCTGCCCCGCTCCTAGATTGCCCTACTGCCACTAGTCTATTGGGGGAGGGTCTCTGATCCGGGAACCAAAGAGTTCCTCTTTTGGGAGGTGCAATCTGTAGAGTACTCTATCTGAGGCTTCACCCGTGTTGAGTAGAGCAGGAACATTACCTCCCATGTCTTAAATGACACTCCTATTAATACACCGTGGAATCATACTAGGCTTTTTGGCAATTGCATCACACTTGACTCAAGCACAATTTGTGACCCACTATCACCTCCAGAGTCTTTTCAGCATACTACCGCAAAACCAGTTATTCCCCATTTAGTAGGTATGCATTTGCTCTTTGTCTTCAAAGTGTATTTTTTTGCAATTATCTTTACTGAATTTCACCTTCTTCATTTTGGTCCAATTGTTCAGTTTTGTCAAAGTTGTTTTGAATTCTAATCTTATCTTCCAAAGTGCTTTGAACCTCTCCCAGCTTGGTTTCACCTGCAACTGTTATAAACATACTCTCCAATCCATTATCCAAGTCATAAATGAAAATATTGAATAGTCTAGACTAAGGACGTTAAATATTGAGTAATTTACTGGTCAAGTAGTCGATGGAATTTCCACTGAGTACTCGATTAGTGGATAGGCACTTCCGCATTCCCTCTTTGAAATGTACAAGAGCCTTGCTGGGGCTCTTGTACATTTCAAAGGAGGAATGCAGAACTCAGGTGCAGCCCAGGGCCAGCAGGAAGTCCCACTGACTCTAGGCTCCACAGGGGTGCCAGCTTTGAAATGTATAAGAGTCCCCAGCAGGGGCTCTTGTGCATTTCAAAGTGGAAGTGCCCTCATGGAGCCCCGGGTCAGAGGGGGACTCCAAGTCCCCCGCTAACCTCAGGCTCCATGCTGCGCTGCTACTTTGAAATGCCACGCAAAGTGCGGCATTTCCCTGGAACCCGGGATCAGCTGGGGACTCCCCAGCTAACCCTGGGCTCCATGCAAACGCCACAGCAGCATTTCAAAGGGGCAGCACCACACAGAGCCCTGGATCAGCTGTGCAGCGCTGCTTCTTTAAAGTACCCACTTCCCCACCCCCTCTTTGCTTCCTCCATCTGATAGAGGTAGCAAGCGGAGGGGGGGATATTGACTAGTCAACTCCACTATCCAATAAGCATTTGCTTATCGGATAGTCAACTAGTCGACTAGTCCTTAACATCCTTAGTCCAGACCCAGTACAGGTCCCTGCATGACCCTATTCAATACATTCCCGAGTTTGGCAGCAAACCATTGCTAACTTCTTTTTGAGTAGTTTCAATCTCTAAACTTGTGGGCAAAAAAATGAAAGGCCAGTTAAGGCTGGTTAGAAATGTGATCGTTACTCAATTGTATATTATAAATTGGATCTGGATTCTTGGCCCTGTATTTGTCTTTGTAGATTTTACTTTATATTCCCTTCTTCTCCCTTGAAAAGTCTGCATTTTATATGGAGAATCCTGTTGATGTAAGTGAATTATAAAGAAGATCAAGGATCTGTTTAGGACAGTTTTGGAACAGTAGTGGTCTTCCGCTGCTGGAGAAAGAAAAATTATAGTCCTTTTAGTATACTGCTGTAGCAAAAGGCGCAGGGATATCTGTGCCAATTAACTGACTCACATTCCTCACAGAAGTTACAAAACAGCATTTCAAGCAGAAGCTGCAGAAACTGAAACAAAGACAAAGTCCATCAATCCATTTCAAAACTGGTAAGAGAACTTGAAAAGAAAATCTGAGCAATGAAGTTTAGTCTGTACTGAGTGTATTTTAATCAATTCAAGGTTGGGACAATATTGTATTGATTCAGAGTGCAAACTCAACTCTGAATAAGGGGTTCTGATTTTCTTTTCAGCCATTATGGATATATTAACCTAAGGATTAGATATCTTCGAAATACTTCAGAAATTAAGTTTAGACACAAAGATTATGTACACCTAGAGCAAAATGCAAGTATGTTGAAAACTAATGAGTTGGAGGGAGAATAAGCCATGCACAATTCTCTTTTAAACTTTTAGGTATTTGCTATTTCAGATCATCTGGTTTTTCTCTGCCAACTGATAGGCATGAACCATTGGAGAGGTCACCTCAGAAGTAATCAAATGCTTAATAGTTAGTGGAAGGCCCGCAGAGTAGCAGGACATACATCAGCAGTTGAAGAAGAGCAATATAACTTGGTAAGTAATTTGAGTTTTGTTGGGTTTTTTTTAATGGGGAAAGAAGAGAGTTTTTGATTGCACCAGATCTGATGAGGAGAGTGGGTAAACAAGTTGGGCTGTTTTTCTTTCCTCCAGGGCATAAAAGCAGGAGGCAGATCCCATGGCTGCAGTCCATGAGAAGGAAGAGAAAATGCTTCTGCAACTTGCAGAACAAGTTGTGACTAGAATGTTTAATTCAAGTGGGGTTTGTGTTGTCTCTCTTTGAAGAGCTTCCTCTCCCCTCAGTAAACTTCTGCATTTTCTTCTGGGCTCCCAGCCCTGCTATGTAAACCTAGGACCTCAGTGCTCTGTACAAAGAATTTTGCTTGTCCATTGAGAGTTCTGCATGTGACATGCACTTAGGATTGGAACAGATTTTGCAAACAGTTCAACTACCGTTTAAGCACTTATGGGCCAGATTTTAAACAGCACTCAGGAGCCTTGGCAGCAGGGTGACAGAGTTCAAAATCAGCATCTTACAGAGATTTTACAGCTCTCTCTTGCTGCACTTAGCATCCCTGCACCACTCAGACAATGCTGCAGCCTTACAAAGGCAAAAGAGTTCTCATTTGGATACCGACACACAATCAGATGTGTCAGGAGTGGGGAATCTTTCTTGTGTCAGGCACCGCTGACCCACAGAAAAAATCAGTTAAGGACCGCACGCAAGTGAGAAGCAAAAAAAAAAAACCCCAAAAACCAAACCAAAACAAACAGAAAAATCTCTCACTGACAACATGACCCCTGGCTGAAAAGGAGAAAGACTCTCCTCACATTCCCCTCACACACCAGAGCCTAGAGGGGCCCCGGCTAGTAGATTTTGTGTGCTCCAGCCCTGAGCCTCGGGGACCGAATACAGGCAAGCTGGGGGCAACTGGACATGAGGTTCCCCACCTGTGAGATATGTCTTTGCCCATAAAATAACCCCAGGTGCTTCTAGCCAATAGAACAGACTCAGGATCTGCTTTATTGATGCTCTCTGGTCCCTTGGTGCCAAAGCTAAAATTACCTTTTAAAGCTAATTTTGAAGAAAAAAAAGTAATTTGAAACTTCTGGTGTCCCGTCCCCCCCCCTCCCCCCAGCTCTAAAATTATCATTTGTATCCATTTGGATATGTCTATAAAATACAGCTTTGCCACTCCTATCATTAACTGTACCACCATCTGCCAAATTAAATATCTGCAAAACTAGCAAGCCTTGTAAAACTCAATTCCAGAACACATAGTAGTGCACGGAAATCAACCAGTTTGACGCTGGTCCAGTCTTCTAGACATCTCTAGTATGTCAAGTCAGTGCTGATCAACTGCAAAGAGGTCTAGATTGTCTAAGATTCCCTGGCTACATACCCAGAATGTAGGTTATTTGCCTTATGTCAGCTTCCTGAAGTTGGGGGCATGTTATAGAGGGGGCCTGTGGATTTTTTTGGTTTTATTCATTTTATTTTTAGCAGTTTGTGAGCTCTATGATGTCAAAATATCAGGGAAAGTGGTGTTAAGGGTTGTCTCTTTGCATATATGCACAGTACTGTTTCAAATAGCACAATGTTAAAGCACACTAGGGAATCCTTAGCACACAAGCAGGGTCTAAATGGACCAATTAATACATAACATATTAGTGCACTTTAGAAATCACACGCCTGTAGTCGACATTACTGCTCTGTCTAGACAAGCCATTAGCTACAAGCCAGGGAGCAGAGATATCACCTTATAAACAAACTGCACAGGGAAAGGAGTGGAGTCAACACATACTGAGTAACCATTTCTGGTGTATATTAGATAAACTTCCATTTCATATTGATAGAGAACGGGGGTGTTTATTGGTTATTTCTGAAAATGAGAAGCCCTAGTAATGTTCCCTTGCTTAGGATGCAAGTAGTTCTGGGGTTAACACTTATCCAAGCTCTAGGGGTGCGAGAAGATTGCCAGTGAGGGATATACATTGCAAATGCAATCAGACCACCTCGAGCACTTTGCCAGAAATCATTCTGGGTAGTTTGGGATGATGATGATTTAATACAACTTCAGGAAGCAATCTTAAGCGTACACCTGTAGATGTTCGGCAGAGAGCTTTTTAAACACAAACCTTTGTAGTTGAAAAACAAAGTCATTCCACAGCAAACACCCATGTGGGCATAAAAACAGTAACAATGTGGATAACGCCTTCCTGAATCTTTCTAGCTACGTATGATTCTCGCAGTTTGGAAAGCTGATCTGCATAGAAAGACATAGCCATTCCAAATATAAAACAGATATTATTCCCCATGTGTTAGAAATCCCCAGCCTCTATCACTGTTTTGTTCTATATTATGTCTGTCTATTTAGGCACTGACATGGCCAGCAATACTGTATTAGCTGCTTAGACTTCTAAGCATCTTGGAGCACAGACTGTCTCCTGTTTGGACAGCACCAAACACAGGTGTGCAGCAAATTATATTATGTAGCTGTGTCAACACTTGGCTTTTTATCCATATCATTTCTGACTATTTTAGGTGAACAAGGTGCTGGCAGTTTTTCTACCTGATCTTTGCTGAGAGCAACACGAACTAACACCATGATAATATTGCCTGTGGCGTCCAAGGCCTTATCTATTGTCCTTGCTTTTGCCAGGGAAGCTGCACTGCTGTAGCAGCAGTGAGACATTTTAAGGCTAGTGGGAAGTCAAAGGTGGACAATTTATCAGACAGTAATTAACTTTTGGGGCAATTTATCAAGAGGCCTGGTAGACTCTGCATCACTTAAGATCTTGAAATCAAGATGGGATGTCCAAAACATATGCTCTTAGTTTAATCCCAAATTAAACACTTGATACATAGGGTTGCCAGGTGTCCAGTTTTCGCCCGGACAGTCCAGTAATTACATCTTCTGTCTGGTAAAAAAAAAAAAACAAACAGAAAATACCGGACATGTAAAATGTCCAGTATTTTCTGTTTTTCTTGGATGGAAGTCTGACAGGGATATTTTTCCCCCTGCTGCATCTGGTGGGGGCGGGGGAGCGGGGGAATTTAAAGGCGCAGCGACCTTTTTTTTTTTTGCTTAAGAACTTTGGTCTCCAGTGCGTTGTGGTTTTGTTGTTTTTTGTTCAACCAATTTTTTTCCCTGCCATATTTGGGATGTTTTGTGATGTTTTGTGTTTTGGGATGTTTTGTGGCAACTCTATTGATACAAGAATGAGTGTGTGAAATTCTATAGTCTCTGTGATGCAGGAGGTCAAACTAGATGAAACAGAGTCCCTTCTGGCCTTAATATCTATACAACTATGAAGTCCTTCCTCGGATCTCCATCCCTTTGTGTCTTTGTTTTTAACATAGGTCCAGCTAAGCAACATGGCTTTGAAGAGAGTGTCTTTTATGTGTCTGCTGTTCATTGCTACATCTGTCATCAGCATCTCTCATGCTCAGAACCCACCGGCCTTCAGACGGAAGCATTTGACCCTATTGGACACCATCGACCACAACAGATGTAATAGTGAAATGAGAAACAAATGGATCGCAATGACTAGAAATGGCTGTAAAAAACTTAACACATTCATTCATGCTCCTGAGGAGATTATCGATGCCACATGCACCATGGGGAAAGTGCATACCCTAAAGGGCCAAGCGTATAAAAAAAGTATCAGTAAATTCAGGGTCACTAATTGCAGACTCTCTGGGGAATATCCTAATGGCTGTGAGTACATGGCAGAAAAGACCGCCTGGAAATATATAGTAATCTCTTGTGATCAGAATAATCAGGCGGTGCATTTTGCAGGGACTCTGAACTGGTAGGAATGAGAAAGTGGGGGAAGGAGCTTATTCCTAATATTTTGGGGTGCTGTTGCCTCTTCTATTGCTAAAGCTTCATTCATACTGTAGCCTAAGCAAATTATTTCGTGACGTAAGGTGCTGGAGCCCTCTACAACAAGGGGGCACTGCTCTCTTATGGGTTTGGTAGTGGTTCTGGAGAGCAGCAAGGAGATGAAGAAAGGAATAATGATGCTTAGCAATTGTATAGCCCTTAACATTTCCAAAGCATTGCACCATTATGGAAATGCAGGGGAGCAGCTGAAAGAGGGAAGCGGGGAGATTAGAGTGGGGGAAGAGGATTGTTGAGAATGGGAAGCAAGATGGTTATAGGGTCTGATCCCAAACTCAGTGAGGTCAATGGACTTTAGATCTGCCCCATAGCGAGAAAGAGCAGGCCTTCTCACGGGTTCAGAGATCAGAGAGGCTCAGATCACTTCCAGCTTTTGAGGCCCTTAGCCATAATAAAAATAAAAAATGACACATGAAAACAAAATAAGGCAACAAAAAAGAGAGAAACGTAATTTGAATATTTTTATTTAGCAAGTGCCTTTTTTAGCCTTTTTCACATCTTATTTGCTTAAATTTGCAGTTCTAAGCTGAGAAAGTGGGTCACATTTTGGTCCGATAGGGATGCACATAAAAACAAGCTGCAAAACTAATCAAATGCCAAAAAATTAATAAGTGCCTAAATTTGAGGCCCCCTCTGAGCTTGAGGCCCAGGCCAACTGGCCCTCCTGCTCCCCGCCCCCAACAGGCCCTGAAAAAGAGAAGTGGCAGGATCTTGAATGGGAATTAGAAAGAGGGCATGTTTACACTAGGAAATTATTTTGAAATAACTCCAGAAATAATAATTTTGAGCTAGCATGTCCACACTACGGGGAAGCCTCGAAATGAGTCCGAGGCAGGCTCTGTTAATGTGGCTGTGCTACCTCAACTTAGAGCCACACGAAGCCCCAGGGAGTAATTAGTTTGAATGACTCTAGGGAGTAGTTATTTTGAAATAGCGGCACAGGAGCGTCCACACTACTGCTATTTCAAAATAGCTATTTCAAAATTAGTATTATTCCTCGTGGAAGGCAGGAGTTATAATTTTAAAATAACCAGCCCATTATTTCAAAATAATAGGCTTGGCAGTGTGGATGCTCTGCTTGTTATTTCGAAATAACTCCCTAGTGTAGACCAGGAGACATGGAGGATGGTGCAGTGGTTAACATGTTAGTCTGGGAGATCCAATTACAATTCCCACTCTGCCATAGACTTCCTGTGTGATCCTGGGCAAATGACTTAGGGCCAGATTTGTATAGGTTTATAGGCACCTACAGATACTTAATAGGTGCCTGGTGTGAGTCTCAAAAATGCCTAGGCCCATAAGACCCAATGGGAGTGTTGATTTTCAAGATTCCTTCACACCTCTATGAAAAAGCCATTGATTTTGCTAGGTTTGAGATCAGCCCCTAGAAGCTTCCCAGTTCCCATCCTCAACATCTTCCTCCCCCAGCATAATTCCCCACCACCCTCTCTGCCACTCTCTTTTATTTCTTTAGGTGGCTAAAGAGCTTTAAAAGTCTAATCCTTAGTATCTTGGTGCCTGTAGCCAGACATGAACCCCCCTGTAACATCCATCTTTGCTTGCCTGGAAGCATACAGGGCACACAGAGCAGTAAAATCAGCATAGTCTTTGAAGCCTTGACAGGAGGCCCGGATATGCTAGCTCACAAGTGTCCCTGGACAACTGTAAGCAGAGATAAGAGGGTGGTCGAACTAATCGCTGACCAAGAGGCTGCCGAGGAGTGTCCTTGACTGAAACCCATATTGATACGATCACACACTCGTCCGGTGGGGGAGGAATCTCCCGCCCAGCAAAGAATGTCCGGTACTCCTAATTTAGTTATCTCTCTCTTACAAGTGTAAATTATTTGAAACTCCCTTGTAAGAACTGGCGCCACAACGACGGACCAGTACAATTTGGCATCTTAGATAAGAAAGAGGATACGGGCTCCTATGGGTATACAGATGGGTCCAGCAGCACACCCACTCTGAGCGTCGATCTGCCATCTACCTGCTGGCCGGGTTAGGTGTTTGACCTCCTGAGGTTCCACGGGGATGCCCACCTCATATTTGTCTTTCCGAGGAATTGAGGGACCAACCCTGGCCTGACCCGCTGGAGTCGAGAGGCACAGAAGGGGGTAAAAATTGTACCTGTATGTGTCCTTTGTTTAAGTATATACATAGTATTAGATCTCTTTAAAGATTAAGCTGTCACTTGGCACCATTATTTCCTATCTTTCTTTTCCTTTGTAACCATTTTAAGATCTGTATTTGCTAGCAGTTAAGAAGTAGAGCAATAGCCATTTTAACTACATGCTTTATAAGCCTTTTTAATAAACCTGTAACTGGTTAAGTTTTAACCTGACTCCTTCAGTTGCTGTAACAGAACCAAGCACTATTTAAAAGAACTCCAGCCTGTCATAATGGACAGATACAAGCAGAGCTGGGCTTCTGGATCGTGTCGCTTCCAGAGGACAGATCCGTAGGGGCATCTCTCAGCCTTTCCTAGGCTGCCCACTGTGAAGGGATCCTGTATCCTAGCAGTCAAAGTCTGAGATGTAATAAGCTCTCCCTGTAAACTCTGGGGCATCTGTCAGCCTGTTGGCTGCCCGAAGCAAAGGGATCCTGATCCTAGCGGTCAAAGACATGGATGTTAAACTTCTAGGGGCTCCCATCGGTCTTCCCTAAGGCCGCCCGCTGCGACGGGACCTTGTGTCCCAGCAGTTGAAGACTCGGGTGTAACACACACACACACACACACACACACACACACCCCTGACCATCGGCTGACAACATTTTCTTGTGCACCTCTCTGTTTGTGCCAGCACTGTGCTGCCCTTCCACTTGTCAGCTAGTCTGACAGATATCAGGTCTTTCAGGACTGCCAAGGGCGCTTTTTCCGGAGGATCGGGGCCAGTGTAGACGCTCTTTTCCGGCTTTTCTAAAAGCCGGAAAAAAGCGGCGGACATTTTTATTTAAATGCCGCGGGGGATATTTAAATCCCCCGCGGATTTCCCTATTGCGATCGCTGAAATTAACATGCCCCTTCCGGAAAAGGGGCCAGTGTAGACGTAGCCTCAGGGCGCCCGTCGGTCATCCCTAAGGCCACCTGCTGCGACGGGACCTTGTGTCCCAGCAGTTGAAAACTCGGGTGTATAACACACACACACACACACACACACTGCCCTGACCATCGGCTGACAGTGCCCAGTTCCTAATGTGTACAACAGGGATAGTAGCACTAGCCTGTCGCACAAGACTGTGTGGTGAGGATGAATTCCTGACAGATTGTGAGGTGTTCAGACACTACAGTTATGGGGGAGGGGCATATAAGGTAGATAGTAGAGTACAGGTTCTGGGGTTTGGGATTGGAGAGGAAGAGCCTAGATGTGAGTGGGGCACAGACACAAGAGGGGGGTTGATGAGGTGTACGACACACAAGGGGAAGTGGGTGAGGGAGGGACATGTTGTTTCTGCAAATTCTTGTTAATGCGAACTGCTTCCTTACTGCAGGAAAAGGTGCTTTTCTCTTGTCAACTACAAGCAACCTGCAAGCTCCTTGGTGACATTCCTTGCATTCGGGGCAAAGAGGGGAGCTACAGGACAGCACGAGAGTCTCTGCTTTCAGAGATCTGGGCTGGGGAACAGAGCCTGGCCTCTAGTGGGGAAGCCTTGTGAGTGCCTACAGACTGGCTGTTGGTTTTGAACCACCTGGGGGTGGCAGTCAGAGAGGAAGGGTGTGCTCACACATCACCTGGGGGTAGCATGGTCAGAGAGTGGGTGTGTCCACACACCATCTGGGGGTGGCACAAAGCAAGAGTGTGTGTACACACCACCTGGGGTTGGCACAGTCAGAGAGGGAGAGTGTGTCCACACACCACCTGGAGGTGACATGGTCAGATAGGGTGTCACACACAGAAGATGGTTTTGGTGGACAATCTTTGGTAACTAGAAGCTAACGTGGGAAAAAAACCAGTTTCCACTCTTCCACCCTGTAGCGGTGGCACAGAGAGTGGCTGTGTGTACACAGCACCTGGGGGTAGCACAGAGGGTGAGAGTGTCCACACACCATCTGGGGGTGAAGTATCAGAGGGGTAGCCCTGTTAGTCTGGTTCTGCAAAAGCGACGAGGAGTCTTGTGGCACCTTATAGACTAACAGATGTATTGGAGCATAAGCTTTTGTGGGCAAAGACCCACTTCGTCATTTGCATGTGGGGAAATTTCCAGAGGCAGGTATAAATATGCAGGCCAGAATCAGTGCTTGGATCTTATTCTGGCCTGCATATTTATACCTGCCTCTGGAAATTTCCACTGCATGCATCTGACGAAGTGGGTCTTTGCCCACGAAAGCTTATGCTCCAACACATCTGTTAGTCTATAAGATGCCACAGGACTCCTTGTCGCTTTTGCAGTTCCAGACTAACACGGCTACCCCTCTGATACCTGTCTCTTGGTTCTGTCCCTTGATGCATGCAGTGTTCCATGGGAAAACGGCCAGGTATAACCTGGAACCCAAGTCCACCTCTGAGCCAAAGAGGGCAGCACTGCAAGAGAAAGGGAAATGCAGCAAAAGCTGGCATGACCACGGGCACAGTGGCTCACACATCAGTCTAGGCATCCTTACTGCTCATACAGACCCTTCCTCACCTCCACCATGCCCCCCACCCCCAACTCAACTGTCCATCTCCCTAGGCGAGCAGGCAATCATCTTTTTCTCCCTTCCGCCCCCACAGAAAGATGACAGCATTATCCCCATATTGGTCTTTGCTGGGTCTGCTGTGACACAGACCTCTGCCCCAAAGGGTGGAGGAGTGTTTAGCCAATTGCCCCTTTTTTCTCCTAAATATCTGAGCTCAGACAAGTTAAAAAAAATACTAGGTGTGCTGCCAGCATGCCATGTGTCCTGGGCCAATCAGCCTTGGGAATTATAAGCCCCAGGAAGTGGAAAGGTGAGCGGCAGTAGAATCTGGGACAAAATATCACTGTGACAAAGAATGAGCTGAGAGATTGAGTTGCTCGTGCAAAATCGCGACACCCCAGGAAGCAGGCTGTCCAGTTACTCTGTTCCACATGCAAGTGATTTAGGCATTTGTAAAGCGCTGTGTAGGTTAATGCTGCTATTGAAGTGTGTG